AATTCGATATTCTCACGTATCATCATTGGTACAAAAATATCGAAATTTTGTGCCGCAATAACTGGTCCCAATAAATTCTTAAATTGTATTTTCAAAAAAAAAAATTATACAATTAAAAAATATACTAAATTAAATTATTGATTTTTTGAAGAAAATTGGGGATGAATTTTTTGGAAATGATAGGGGAAAGAGGAAATAATAATGATGGTGATGAATGATGATATTCTTTTTCATCCAATTTTTTATTCGATTATTAATAAGCATCAAGCTGTAATTAGATTATTAATAAGCATCAAACTGTAATTAGTAATTAGTCAGATAACTAATTTTATGTAGTATAAATTTTCTTAGAACTTACTATGTATCCCATGAAATTAGTTAATTTAATATTTTAAATTTGGAAAATTCATTGCCATCAATTCATTATTTTAGTCCCCAAATTAACGTAAGCTTATTTTCAGAAACGATATAATTTATTTAATAAGCTTAAAGTTTTAAATTTATTAAATAAACTAAATTATTTATGGAGGAAAAAAACAAAGCTACTCTGTTCTTTGTTGACAATTTATTACTATTGTCATGTTGTTTGAGAGCGGTGACAAGTTCTCTTGCTTTGATTTGTAAATCACCACAAAAACCATCCATTAATGTATCAACCATTGATTTGAATTCATCATGAATTTTTTGATAAAGTAATAAATCATTTTGTTTATCATCAAACACTGTAAAACTATCATACAGTAATTTCATTTGTTAAGCTAATTTTTTTTCTTCGGAATTAAAAATAAAGCTAAATCAAAAAATAAAAACAAATTCCAACCGATATGATTTTTTTTTTAATTTTACCAATAATCCTTTTAAAATTTTGTTTAATTTAGTAAAATTATTCCTATTTATTTTTTTCAAAAACAAATTTGTCATTATCAAAAGTTCCACCTATTTTGGTCACAATTTTTTTTTTTCATTAATTCAATTCGTATTTAATGAACGATCAAAAAAAATTAATTAAATAATTATTTAAAATGAATCATCAAAACAAATTTTCATGTCCGTATTAAAATTAATAACTTATTAATTTTACAAATTATTGTAATTTTTGAAGCAAACTGATTAAAAATGAACATTTGTTTGTCACAGTTTATTTTGCATATCATTTCAAAGACAGTTAATTAACTCAAAATTTTAATTACAGCAAAAACATCTCATCGATACCTATTGAATATTGCTCCAAAAATGTTGCAATTGGAATATTCCATATGGAAGAACTCAAAAAATTAATAAATTTATCAAATATAATTTCCGATGATTGCACATATTGTGCGTGTTGTTTAAACATTCTGCAAGAAATACCTGAAATGAAGTTTATTAAAAAAGTAAGTTAACAACAAAATTTTATAGCGCTCAAATAGTAAATTTAAAAAAAAAAAAAAAAAAAAACAAAAAACAAAAATGAAGGAAATCAAAGAATGAAATTCCCAATGAATTTCTATCGCTTATTCATTTATTAATTTTATTTAAATTAATAAAATTATTGAAATAGATAAAGTTAGATATTAGTGAAGGAAAAATAAAAAAAGAAAAGGGATAAAGTGAATTTCAATTTAACGAAATATTTATATGAATGATATAGCTACCCATAAATTAGTTGTACTTTTGCAAACTAAATTTTAAAGCTAAATTTTAATAGCAATACTAAATTAAATTAAATTAGATTAAGAGAAATTTTAACACTTTCATTATTAAATTTTAATAATTTCATTTATTGGAAATGAACTTTTGAGGACAGAAAAGTGAAATTTAGGAAGGATTTGAATACGAGAGATCAAAATACTCATAGATTCTTTTGCAATGGAATTTAATAATTGCAAATTTAATTTAACAGGTATATTGCAGTTAGTTTATCTCTCCTCTTCCCTATTCTTTCATGCTTTCTTTCTATCATATCATATCATTCACATTATATCAGGAACTATTTTACTCGGCTTACTCCAAGCGTGCAAGAAATGTCATATTATGTATAATTTTACTTTCAAAATTATTCAACAGATCGGTATTGATTAGAAATCTCTCCCCCTTATCTGATAATTTAATAAATTTGCTTAATTAATTAAACAATTAATTTAATACATTAGATAGCTAACTTATTTTGATAATATTAATAGTAATAATAATACAAGAAAACTAATAAACAAAATGACATTGACAACAATAATGATCAAATATGAAATTGAAATATTGGCATCATTTCTATCATATCTAAGACTAAACTTCCGAAATGTTTCCCAAAGAAAATGTTTCATAACTTACCAATCAAATTTACTAGTTAACGGAAATTTCTCATCCTTCCGATAATTCTTTTTGATTTATAAATTTATAAGTTTATTTTAAAATTATGCTATATTTTGATCGAATATTTTCAATTTCTTATCATAATTTGTCAAGTAATAACAAGATTGATAATATTAACAATATTAGCAATAAGAGAAGATTACGAAACAATGTGACGTCACGTTGATAACGTTAATAATGATTCACTATAAAATCCAAATACTGATAATTACTTTTTAATGAATTTAAATGACGTCACGTTGATAATGATTCACTATAAAATCCAAATACTGATAACTACTTTTTAATGAATTTAAATGAATATTGCATACAAAAAGGGGGAAAAGATAAAAAATATAAAATAAAATTTTCAATTTTATTTTATCTTTTCCCTTAAATTATGCTATATTTTG